GTATACCAGTAATAGAATTAACAAAACATTAAATATAAACTTAAATACAGTACTGTACTGTACAGTATACAGTGACCCCTCGTTTAACGAACGCCTCGGTTAACGAAATTTCGGTTAACGAACTGCCTTCCATAAGGATCTTCAATTCGGTTAACGAATTTCTTACGAACCGACCTCAACATGTTTTCGCTTGCACTGACCGGGCAACCAGCTTTAGTATCAGTTCGCCAATACATTAATCGGTTCTAGGGCTTAAATTCCTTACTATTTTAGTAAATATCAAGAAGTTTATACTATTCAATAATTTTAAAAGTTTAATATTCAATTTTTTAGTCATTTTAACGATTATTGAACATAATTGAAGGTAAAGTGACTAGTTTAATGCGCGGCATCCAGCCTCTTAACACAGCAAACAGGCGTTAGTCTCTCTCTGTTTTCACTGGAGGTAACATCTTGCTTGAGACTCTCTTCAACTAAACACTTTTTTTCTGTGTTTCCAAGCAAATTATTGGTCATTTTGAAATATATTTTACATATTGACAATATATAATGCAGTGCAGTGTTGATTTAAAGAAAATAATCTTGAATTACACCAAGAGAGCTAAAATTTTATGGGTGAAATGGCGCCATGGGGTGACTTCTCTTCCACCCCAATGCCTTCTCTTCTTCCTTCTCCTCCACCCCCATTCTAAATCATCCATCATCATCATCATCATCATCCAGGAGCCTTCTACAAACACACCTCAAAGTAAGTGAACTTTTCTACCATTTTTGTTGAATTTAGGAAATTTTCGGTGAGCTGGAACCAATTACCCAAAAACCCATTGAAACAATGGTTTCGGTTAACGAACTTTTCGGTTAACGAACGACCTTCTGGAACGGATTGAGTTCGTTAACCGAGGGGTCACTGTACTGTATAATAATAAATAAAAAACCAATAGAATACTATGTTTTAACTTACTTTGATGTGTGTATGTCGTATTCCCGGCAGCTTTGTTTACATATCAAACAGCTGACAGGCAGTCGATGATTACATACCATATTCTTTACAGAGTGCATTGGTTCCAATGCCTTTTTCATGTTTCATAATAATTTCTGCACTGTATATTGTCAATAGTTAACTAAATTTCAGAATGACCAATAATTTTAATGTAAAAATGCAAAAATATTCAAGAGACCAACAAAATCGATGTTCACTCTACCATAAACAAAGTTAAACTAAGAAGCGTTGTTGGGTGATTCAATCAGCTGATGGGTGCACAAAAACTGTTCCCTGTACTGTCTATATTATCAATATGTTAACTAAATTTCAGAATGACGAATAATTTTAATACAAGAATGCAGAAATATTCAAGAGACCAACTTTATTTATATTTACTTCACTGGAAACAAATGTAAACATAGAACCAATTACTGTGTTGGCGGACTAGCCGATCAGCTGATGCGCACAACAAAATGTGTTTGTCGTAAGGATTTCGCTAATCGAAGTTTTGTTCGTTGATCGAACTGAAAATCCTTATGGAGCTAATTCGTTAACCGAAATTTCTTTAATCGAACCGTTCGTTAACCGAGGGACCACTGTATTAAAATTTCTTTGGGCCTGTAAAGCCCTTTCACTCAAAATTCTCAAACCAAATATAGCTTCTCTAGTTTATTTTCCTTTTCTAAATCCATTTTGCTCTTCAGATAACTCACTTTCTATTCTAAGCATTATTTTACTTAGAATTATATTTAATAAAACTTTGCAGGGATGACTTATTAAGCTTATTGTTCTGAACTGGGTGCACTCTAACGCCCGTATTATTAAACAACATCTTCCCTTGAAGAGAGTCGTCGTGTTTCAACCCGAGTTTTAAACTAAATGAGTCCTGAGGGACACCGCAGTACAGTACTTAATGGGGTGGTGTGGCGGTAAAATTAACTAATTCCAATAAAATTTATTTATAACATTGGAATTAGCTAACCTTACCGTCACACCACCCCATTAAGTACTGTACTGCGGTGTCCCTCAGGACTCATTTAGTTTAAAACTCGGGTTGAAACACGACGACTCTCTTCAAGGGAAGATGTTGTTTAATAATACGGGCACAAGGTTCCTGCACATTTGTTTTATAAATTCTGCTGGAAGTTGATCAACCCCACAAACTTTGTAATTTTTCATTTTGCTCACAGCTACCACAACTTCTGTTTCCAGAATTAGCATTTTGTTCTTTATTTCCTTTTTGTTTCTTAACACTACTCTATCCTTATTCCTTATTGTATAGTTCTTCTACGTACTCTGCCCATCTTTTTTTTACTTCTGCCTCAAATAGAATCTTATTGTCTTTGCTTTTAATAGTCCCACCCCATTTATATCCTTTTTGGGTTTCATCTGTTTTATCTTTCTGTATATTTTTCTGTAATTATGCCTTTTGTCATCATCTTCAATCTCCATCCATTTCCTTTGTAGATCACCTTTTCTTGGCCTGTCTGCATTCCCTTAAAAATTATTTGTAATTTTTATGTAACTTTCACTTCATTTTCTCATATTTCTCTGTCTATTTTCTTTAAAATGTCACTTGTCTTCTACGTACTTACTTTTAGCCTCATTCTTCCTGTGTCCAATAGGTTTTTACTCATCAGTCTCTAACTTTACTTATTTGTAATTATTAAATTGTTAGCATGGATCTTGTTCATTAAAGTTACCCTCTAGTAATACAGTAAACCCTTGTTATTTGTGGGTTTGCGATTTGCAGTTTCAACTATTCACGGTAAGCACATGCTGACTAGCTTGCGAGCCTCTCAAGCAGCGCAACGAGTCACCCCACGTGCCCGTAGTGTCTCCTCTCCCTTATTTGCGCTCAACCATTGCTTGCTTTGTAGCATCATTTGTGCTGTGCTCAAAACTTTAGTGTTTCTGTGTGGAATGGCCCTTAAAAAACTGTCTAGTGTCAATGATGCTAATGGTGTGAAAGAAAGTTGAATCATTAGATATGTTAAAAGAGGGGATAAGTGCTGCTGCGGCTGGTCGGTAAGTAGTATTGCTGACTTAGTTTTTCATACACAATATAGGTCTTGATAAAATCACACAGAGAAAATGGAAACAATGGAGCACCTTAGTTTTCATCTTTATTCAAGACATCTTCAAAGGCAACTGAATTACATGGACCGAGAGAGGCTTAAGTACATAGGGTGACCTTACTAAACATGAGGTCAGGTCATAAACATGGAAGTGTTTACTGCATTCCATGTAGCAACTGTAATGGAAATTATGTAGGATAGACTGGGAAAGCATTGCAATTCAGAATTAAACAGCACAAATAGAATATCAGAAGAGCATCTGAAAGCAGAGCACTGTTCGTTCATGTTAGGAACAATAATCATCCCATGGATTGGGAAAACAGCTTAGAAGTGTACAAATCATCATGTGTCACAGAAAGACTTCTGGTTGAAGCTAGTTTGATTAGGGAATTGAATTCTATAAACCTTAGTGATGGTCAGTACAAAACTGATAATATGTTACACAAATTTATTTGTCAGTGTCCCAAGATTAAAAATGCTTTGAAAGCATTGGAGTTAGATGTAGGATAGATTATTAGTGGGTCCCATATTTTTGACCTGACTTAACTTGACTAGTCACGTTGCCCTTTCTCTTAAGCTCCTTTGCATGTGTGGTAGTGTTGGTGTGTGAATTAGTGGATGTCATGATTATGACCTGACCTCATGTTTAGTAAGGTCACCCCGTGTACTTAAGCCTCTCTCGGTCCTTGTAATTCAGTTGCCGCTGAAGATGTCTTGAATAAAGACGAAAGCTAAGGTGCTCCATTGTTTCCATTTTCCTTGTGTGATTTTATCAAGATTTATCTTATCCACATTTTCATTGTGGATCTATATGAAGCAATATAGGTATACAGTAGTGCACTAAGGTAGTATAAGTTGTTATTTGCGGTTTTGCCTATTCGCGCCATTCCTTGGAACCTAACCCCCATGAATAACAAGGGTTACTGTACTGAAAATCTATTTTCGTTTACTATTTCATAGTTTATCCCTGCTCTTGTTTTGAGCTTACTTAAGTCCCATTTAATTTTGTCAATAGTGTTTCTTTTTCAGTTCTAGCCTCGCTAAACTCATTACTGTACTGGGATGTGATCTGACCCACAAACTGCCCCTGGATGGGTCTTAGTTCAGTTATTGAATTTTGGAATCTTTCCTGAATTAAAATGTAATCTTTTTGATTCCTGATTGTCTTTACTTTGTCTTGGGGGTATTTACGGCTTTACATCCATGAAACCGTGTGGTGAGTGTGTGGAGGTCAGAGGGTACATGGTGGAGCGCCGTTGCTAAGGTGAGTATCAGGGCCGACTACAACACAGGTTGAACAGTAACCTGTATTAGTATTGCTCTTTTTATGCTTTCATTATTACTCTACTGTTTATGATTTTGTTATTGCTGTTTGTGTGCCTACAATTTTAAGATTTAATGTTACAGTGTACACATACAGTTAAAACTAATTTTATGGGTGAATCTAGTGATCTGAACAGAGGTTTCACAGCCACAGCCAGTTACAGGGGGTTTACTGTACATTTTAGGCCAGGCATTCCAAATTTATGAAAAAAACCCATATCCGGCAACCCCTAGGTCCTAAGCATATTGGGTAAATAGTCCCATATGCACTTGCTGTACTGTCTATGGCAAAAAATGCTTACTATATTTATTATTCATCATATGATTGGCTTTGCAAGATGTCACCTCCTGGCCAAATCTGCCAAGCATTCCCAAGTAAGAAGTGGTAGAGGCTATCTGGAAAATGTTGAATGTTGACCATGTTGCTAAGACCACAGTTACAAGTGTGCCAATGCATGCTCTATGCCATGACTGAGTGTTGCATAAAGTACATAAGGAGGAATGATGCTGTAGTGTAACTGATTTAGTATAATTAGTTTTTTTTACTATACATTGCAGTATTTTTATGGTTTTAACCTCTTTTATTTTTTGTTTTTTTTTATGTAAAGCAGTATAATTTTCTATAAGAAATTAATTGCTTATTGATGATGTATACAATTTTAACTCATTTTCTTAAGGTGCCTTGGAGATGTTCATGGGACTACTATCTGCCTAAAGGGGTGTGGTGGCAGAGTGGGTACAGCACTCTGCTTCTCTTCTAATAGCATTTAGTTCACACCTGGGACACCCCCAATCCACCCTGCTGTGAAAAGGCATCTAACTTTACAGTTGGGAAAGTGAAGTACAGTGCTAGCCACACTGCCTCCATGTGTACTGTAATGAAAAAAGGTTTAGTTCACAGTGTGCTGTATCCACAGGTTCCACACTGCCCCAACCCTTTTGCATGATGTTAGTCCACCAGAGTGTTGTTACACCATCAGCAAGCACAACCAATAGTGTACAAGGAGGAAAACCAATACTCCACTGAGCTGTAATGTATTAATAATTTAGATGTATGTGAAATTAACATTGTGTTATCATCTGTAAGAGGGAGGGGGGTAGCTCTAGTTTGAGGTTATATATTTTTTTACCTGTCCTTTTACCTCCTTTTATTTTATGATTATAAAATATAATCCATCAGTGTCAAACCATACCCTTGAATAGTTACAATGATGTATCATATATGATTTATTACTTTCAGTGGGACATTGTCATCCACAAGTTGTGACAGCAGGAAAAAATCAGATGGGGACTTTGGTGTCTGCACAAGGCTTTATTAATGATTCTCTCACCAAGTATGTGAAGCAGCTAATAAGCCACCTACCAGACATACTAAGCGTGTGTTACCTTGTTAACTCTGGGTAAGTGTAATGAAGGAATAAACGCCACTGTTTGAAAGTATCATTCTATATTAAAGGAAAATCTAACAGTATCTTGTATGTTTATGCATGTGATAACAATTACAGTACTGTATTCCCTCACTAACCACAGGTTTTTATTTTAAAATTCCTTCATGGTTGGCAAAACCTTTATTGTCAAATAAAGGGTTAAAAAAGGAAGTGGCCCATGAGAGACATACCTTAAACCCTATAATGTACAGCTCTGTACTTTAAAATATTTTTATTACAACAATATCCTATTATTCACCATTTTATCTGTCCAGGTGTACCCCGAAAACCAATGTCTCGTTAACCGTCGCTTCGCATAACAGACGATTACATATAGGGGAAGTACCCCGCAAGTTTCATTGATACCCAGAGATCTGACGATCGGGAGAGGAGTGGCAGAGCTGTTTTTAATTTAGCGGGCGGTGGCATGGTGTGAATGCTTGCCATGAGAGGGCTCTGCACACTGCCCTGACTTTTCCATCATCTTTGCTCTTGTTTACACTTACTATGTACAGTATCTTTGCCTTCGTGTTTTTTTCATTATTTCCGACTTAGTGTGTTACTCAATCATGCCTAAATGTCCCAGTGATAGTTCCTCTTGTGCTGGACAGCTTGATGTGATGTGATAAGCTGTAATAAGAGTGGTAATGGACTTGAACTTGCCACCCTAGACTGTCTCTCCCATCCTCAATACTGTACAGGTAAATATGTCACAATTTATGCTGTACATTGCTTATTTAAGGCTTATTTTGCATGCATTATGTCTGCTTTATTTTCTTGCTTGATAGTGTGCACAACAAAGATATATCAAGGGTAGATGGGAGTTTTTGGAAGGTGGCTGGTCACTAACTCCCTGAATTAGTTATTTTCTTATGGGATTAATTGCTTCGATAACCATTGATTCACTAACCAATGACTTTCCCCGGTCCCTATATACGTCAGTTATCGGGATACACCTGTACAGGAACTTCTCGATTTACACGATAATTATGTTCTTGAAAATGATCATGTAAATCAAAAAAGTGTAAATCAAACTGTGAATAGTGGAGATTATGGGTTTTTGTTATTAATAAGACAGTAACCAATATTATACGAAAGAAAACTACAGTATACTGTACACTACAGGTTGTACCTCTCTAGTCTGGCATTCCGTGGTCCGGAAACTCTCGTGGTCCGGAACGATTTTAGTTTGTCCAATAGGTAGATAGGCAGTTTTTTTTTTTTACTTATCTGAATTATTATTATTATTACAGGAGTATTAAATTTTTGCCCCTCAGGCCCCAATGTGGGTCAGTGACCTATGCCCGGGTGGGCTAATCCCCTTAAAAAAAAAAAAGCCGCGGGAAATTAAGGTTTGTTTACATCCGGCAGTTCGGCTGCTCTCTCTCTCTCTGCTTGTCTATACAGAGTACAACATTTAACCCTTCAATATATATGAGCAGTAAATAAGTGTTGCTTTCATATTCTTATGTAGAGTAATGATGATATATTTTACATGTGCGCACTTACATACGAGCAGTCTCACTTTTTTTTTTACCATTAATGGTTAGCTACTTATATTGTTCCATTTATTAACATTAAATAACATTACAGGTACTTCAAGCAACCATATTCATTTTTTACATTAATTTTACTACAGCTAAACTCAGGGTCTTATTTTCTTCAGTTTTATATGTAGAACCAATCAGTCACTGGTTTCGTAAGCTTTAACATAAACAATGCCGGCAGCCGTCTCGTCTCCTCTAATATTCCACGTATTATTAATAAATTGTATTGTTAATTTTGCACACACGTACATTAATTCAATAAAAACAAATTCAGAAACATTAATTAAAATATATATGAACAGTAAATAAGTGTTGCTTTCATATTCTTATGTAAAGTAATGACGATATGTTTTCACGTGTGCGCATGCGCACTTACATATGCGATCTCTCTTTTTCTTTACCATTATCGTTAGCTTCTTCTATTGTTCCATTTATTAACATTAAATAACATTACTTAAAACAACCATATTAATTTTACTACAGCTACAACCAAGGTCTTATTTTCTTCAGTTTTATATGTAGAACCAGTCAGTCACTGGTTTTGTAATCAACGAAAACAATGCTGTGTCATTTCCTCATGTGTTTTCATTTTCTACGTATTATTAATGAATTGTATTGCTCATTTTGCACACATAAACATTAATTCAATAAAAAAGACATTCAGTAATAAACAATAATGAATCTTTTGTACATAAGAGAAATGACGCTGTTTACACGATTATGCACGTCTTCTGCACGTTGGCGGGCCGTTCAAACCCGTCGAAATTCAAGTTTCCGCCGTCAAAATTGTTATTTATTTATTTTTTTGTGTTCCAATAAAATACGTTAAGAATTAAAAACTCGCGAAATTTGAGAAGCTACTATACGACATTTAACCCTTCAATATGTCTTCAAAGAGACCATGACGCAGAGAAAGTGGTGCTAGTGCTTCCAGGCATAAGCACAAGTCACTATCTAACCAGGAAAAGGGTGAATTTCCTTGGTCCGGCAATTTCCATGGTCCGGCACCGGTCAGGTCCCGAGGTTGCCGGACTAGAGAGGTACAACCTGTACTTTATGGGTAATTTAAGGGATTTTCAAGGGTAATTTTGATTATATGCATTTTTAGCTTTACTGTCCCTCTTCAGAATGTAACCCTCACATAAGATACAACACAACTGTACTATTTTTTCGAGAACCGTAGTAAAACTGAGACTACAGTTAATCCAGAAAACTATTATTATTATTTTTTTTTTTTTTCAGATCTGAGGCAAATGACTTGGCTTTGAGGCTCGCAAGATCATATACAAATAGGATGGATGTTGTTGTTTTTGACGAGTAAGTTTGACTTCTGAAGATGATATAGTAAAATGTGGTTTAGTTGGGAAGGAAGCTTTAGTGTGTTTTTTCCCACCCCCTCAAGAGCTACAGCTGATTGGCTGTTGCAAATGTGTCCGATTTCGTTCTGAAGTAATGATATATTTCTAATTGAGTTCATTCATAATCATTGGGATGACCGTTTCTGACGAGAAAGATATTTAGCTATATTATGGAGCTACTGCCATCTTCTCTTCTGTTAGTTGGTTTTACATATGTAAGCTAGCCAATCCATTGAACTTGAAAAGCCGCTTTATAACCAAGAATGGACTAGGTAGCTCAGAGCCTGTTTCCTCCCTTGGGATACTAAGCTGAACTGGAACTGCTTGGATCCGAAGATAAATGTGGATTGAGATGTACACGAATGTAAGCGCTGTGGTAAGCACACTCAAACTGTTGACTATATGAGTACCCATTCCATGCTTGGTTGCAAAATGGGACTTCAGAATTAATCCCTGATTTTTGGCCAATTCCAGAGTTAAATTAACTGGCATACCCTTCTCTTCTCCCATTGAGTAGCATACAAGATGCAAGTTGGTGGAACCAGTGGGTGGTGCAGCTGGTGCCAGCAATTCAAAACATGGGCAGGCCTATCAACTGATATGCAGGAAGTGTATGGCTAATGTGCCTCCACAACCCATTGCTTTCTCCCTTAAGTTGCAACTTCTGCTTCTAATTATCCCTTTTAGGGCCTAAATTATGACAAGGGAGTGTAACTTTCGTGATTTGTACCTGTTGCTAGTGCTACTGTAGGGTCTCCTTGGTGTAGACTTGTAGATGAGGATTTGTGTAGTTAATGTAATGATAACCTTAACTCTGGGCTTAGCCATGGTGTTGACTTACAGCTGTGATGTATGTAATTCATTGTAATGGTAACCTAACTGGACTTGGCCAAAAAATTGGATTTCAGGATTGTTTCATAATTTTTATCATATGTAGGTTAAGGCACCATATTGGGAATCACCATCCATTATCATTTGTTTCAAATGTGTTGATTGAGTTTATAAAGTTTGGTGTCTATTGCTGATATGGTCCTGGAGTAGTAAGCAGACAGAATATTACCTTTAGCCACTTAGAAATAGGAGGATATTTGCCTGCTTAACTTTCATCCTCAGAATCTGAATTGTTCCAATGAAAAATGTAATCAATTCACAGGGAGAGGTAAAGGAGTCTTAACTGGGTTTGGACAAATATGTATCATTTGAGGGTGAGACTCAAGCTGCGATGCAGGTGCAGAGAGAAAGCATTTAGATTCAAATAGGATGTTTTGCTTGAAATCTGAATATAAATTTATAAATTTTTTTTAGCAAGTAAATGAATGATTTGAAATAATGTGAAAATGTACCTAGCATCATGTTAGATTTTGAAATATAATGTTTTTCCAGAGCTTACCATGGAAATCTGGGAAACTTAATTGATATTAGTCCGAAGATGTTCAAGCGGATGGCGCAAGGAAAAAGGGAGTTTGTCCACATCGTTCCTTACCCAGACACTTACCGTGGGCCTTACAGAGAAGATGATCATCGAGCAGGTGAGAACTACTGTATTTATCAAACTACCATGGCCTGGATGCTTCAGTATTAAGGTACAGAATATGACTTTGATGTAAGAATATTATATAATAGAGTGTACAGACAAATACGGGCATCCCCCCGGGTTACGTAATTCTGCCCTTGCTGAATTTACAAATTTAGACCTTAATTTCGTGTTATGGAAAAAAATGCCATTAATGAATTTTGAAAAAATTTTAAATTTAAAAACAAAAATTGCAATTTTTAATCATTTTTTTTACAAAAATAGTAAAAATATATTGTGTGAAAGCATCTGTGGTGGCTACAAGGCGATTGGAAAGCCGCTCACCTCCCCAGTTGCCAGCATTCACCACAGCAATGGAGCTGGTCAGTTAGAATTCTTTCCCCAGCTTGTGTCCAGTTATGCGTCAGTGTTTAGAACTTTATGCGCCCTTATGGAATTTTGGTTAATTTATTACGATTTTCCAAAGAAAAAATCGCGAAATAGAACAAAAATTTCACCGGTATTACAGTATAAAATTTATTTCATGTGGATTCTGGCTTAAGTCTCCTGCCTCTCCAGCTGGTAGCAGCCACAACAACAGTGGTGCTGCTCAGTTTGAATTCTTTCCCCAGTTTGTGCTCAGTTATGTGTGTGTGTTACTGTGTATCCTTATTCAAGATGAGTAGAAAAAGACCATCAAGTTCAAGAGAAACCAGTGGTGATGAAAGATTCTATAAAGGAATTGAATTGGAATTTAAACTTGATGTTTTAAGGAGGTAATGTAACTCCCAGTAACTCTGATCCCACAACTTCACCACCTCCTGCAGCACTCAACATCATTTCTGGTAAGTAAAAATCCAGTGTTTTGTTCATTTATTATCATGTTACATCATGAATAAATCATTGTAAGTTGTTAAAACCATCTCATTTCATACATATACAGTATACTCTCAATTTAACGGAATTCACTAGAGTATAACGAACTCTTGATTTAGCAGAAGGAATTTTTCCGTTATTTTTCACTCAATTTAGTGAACTTGTTTGCTAAATCGAGATTAATTCCATTAATACAGTACGCTCACACCTACGGAGACACCTCAGACACATGATATGTACATAGAAACATTAGAAATATTATTCATGGCTTACCTTAAACTAAGGGGTTCGGTGTTTGTTTTCAAATTTTTCTATAATTTCCAAACTTTTTTTCAGTTGATTGCATTCTTTTGACTTTCTCCCTCACACCACTTCCTTTCTGAGACTTCTGAGAGGCTTTCAGCATGATGTCTAAGCACAGTAGTTAGTTGACCGAGAGGTAGCAGTGAACCATACACATGGTGGCGGCAGGACACAGACTGAGCAGATGTAAACAAACCTCACATACCAAGCAGAGCATTTGGCACGGAATTTACTGGAATCTCGCTTTTTTTTTTTTTACACGGGGACTAACCCACCCGGGCACAGGTCACTGACCCACATCTGGGCCTTGGAGGCGAAAATGTAATAAAATGCAAATAAACGCAAATAAAATTTATAATAAAAAATAATAAAGTAATAATGATAATAATAATAATAATAACACTCTAGTAATAATAATACAGTATACAGTGAACCCTCACTTTACGCGGTTAATTCAACCCACGGCGGCCCGCGTAAAGTGAGAAACGCGTAAAGTGAACAACATAATATATGGGATTAATTGAAATAGAGACCGGGCCGACCCCTAAACTCCACTTTTTCAGACACAATACCTACGTTGTAGTAAAAATAACTTTTTAATTTTATGATGGTATGCACACACAATTAATAATTAAGAGAAATATCAATAATATTAGGTTTTTTAACACTTACATTAGTAGAAAAGATGACTGGACACACGGGGATGGGGGGTTGGTTCCGAGGCAGAGGGCAGATTATTGGCCCTCATCTGTATCACTTGTATCAATTGTATCACTATTCACCACAGAGGCTTGCAGGGCCTCTTTGTCAAACCCCTCAAAGTCCATATAAGTCCATATCCTCACTATAATTATCACTATCACTGACTTGGGCCGGCTGTGGTGGGTGGCCGGTGAAGAACTCGGTAATGTTTTGATGACTGGGCGACCTTGTGCGCACCCTGCTCGCGCCGCTTACACAACATGGCGGATGGCGGGAGGTTTGGATCCAAAAATGGCGCGGCTCGCCAGCCGCTCTCAGCGTAAAGGGGTACACGCACCGCGGAATGTGAGCTTTCCGGTTTCGGCAGGATACCGCGTAAACGTGGAAATGCGGAATGTGGGACCGCGTAAAGCGAGGGTTGACTGTACTGTAGTCTCGATTTATGCGGATTTCCTTTACGCGGTTGGTCATTTATGCAGCACCTGGCCAGACCAGCAATTTTTAGTTACACAGTACATTCCATCATTTACGTGGGAAGCGGCGAGGGCAGGGTGCGCACAAGGTCGCCCAGTCAACAAAACATTACCGAGTTCTTCACCCGCCACCCACCACAGCCAGCCCAAGTCAGTGATAGTGAGGATATGGACTTTGAGGAGTTTGACAAAGAGGCCCTGCAAGCCTCTGTGGTGGATAGTGATACAGGTGATACAAGTGATACAGGTGAGGGCCAATAATCTGCCCTCTGCCTCAGAACCAACTCCCCCATCCCCGTGTACCCAGCCATCTCTTCTACTAACGTAAGTGTTAAAAAACCTAATATTATTGATATTTCTCTTAAATATTAATTGTGTGTGCATACCATCATAAAATTAAGATGTTATTTTTACTACAGCGTATGTATTGTGTCGGAAAAAGGGTAGTCTGGGGGTCGGCCCAATCTCTATTTCAATTAATCCCATATGTTCTTTTATTTCGTTTACGTGTTTCTCGTTTTACCCGGACCTCCATGGGTTTTATTGACCGCGTAAACCGAGACTATACTGTAATAATAATAATAATAATAATAATAATAATAATAATAAAGAACCATAAATACAAAAATGAAAATGGATCAAAAGTGAGAAACAATATATGTAAGTTATGTTGTCAATATTACGAGAAATAATTGAGACTCTGCAATTGTGTGTAAATGAGACAAAAAAAATCAGATCAGCAACCTGGGACTTGCTCACAATTTTCGTGATGCCATATGGCAGCAGGGTCCACCATTAGACAATACATCATGCTTCCACTATCTTCCCAGGCAGTAGTACCTCCCTGTTTGGTAGCTGCCTAGTTTACTAAAGCGAGCAAAAATAACAGAAATTTTTATTTAACAGAAAGGGGTGGCTCGAACTACTGTAGTTCGTTAAATCGAGAGAATACTGTATATGCTAGTGTCACATTTTGTGGCCTCCAAAAATTTCCTTTGGAATGCATCTCAACTTTTATAATTGAAGTATATGGGAAAAATTGTTTCGCTTTATGGAAAGATTTTCAGAAACGGAACCATTCTGTAACCCAGGGATGCCTGTAAAATATTCGTTTTATTCTCTTGTTGTTTCTCTTATACACACACATATACACACACACATTTATACATCCAGTGCTGCTGATGGATATTGCTAGTTTAGGTGAAATGTCAGGGATAAACTAGAATTGAGGGCATGCTGTGTACATTCACACTTGTTTCCAGCCACCTTGCATTAAGCAAGAGAGACAACGTTTGAAGAAGGTACTGTATATATTTTGAGTTTATTTGTACATGTGTGGACAATAGGGATATTCATTTGCTTAAGCCTTAAAATCCAAGCTGATAGTTTTGTCAAATAGCAATAACTTGTTTTACTGTACAAGTATTGCTTTGTCTCGGTGGAAGTTAGTTCATACTGTACATGGTAAGATTTGCACTCTTTTCTTTATGGTGTTGTTTTCTGTCATAAGATAATCAAACTGTATGTAAAAAATGGGTTAAGTTAGACAAGATTCAGTTAGGTTAATAACATTGTACTTCATTTTATGCTTGCAGTGAAAACATTATCTGCCCTTGTTTATGTGGATACTGCATTCTGCCATTAAATTTATTAGCTCTTCAGCAACAGGCAAGCTCTGTCAGAGTGTTCAGAGGTTTGGTTTACACAGGTTACAGTGATATCCCCGTTAGCGGGAATAATTGGTGCAGAATTCTTCCGGGGATGAGGGATTTCACGATAATGGGACGAGTCTCTCAGATCCGGGAAAATCCTACATCCCCAGATTTTTCTTGGAAATTTACCCAAATTTTGCATTATTTCATCCTTGGAATTTGCTCCCAGACCTGAGAAAAAAAAAAAGATTTTCCAGAACTTTCTTGGAATTTTCACAGAAAATGCACCTGATTTTCAACCTCAGAAACTCATTCACAGACCCAGAATTGAGGTATTTTTTCCAGAAAAAAAACGAACAAGTTTCAACTCTTGATATTGGAGAGTTCTGGCAAATGGAGATACAGTATTACTTACTAGTTTTCTCTGTCATTCATAAAAACGGGATTTCATACCAAACTCCCTCATATATAGTTGAAACTATTGTCGTTTATCTTTCTTTTGTTTCAGCTGAGAAATATGTGATGGAGGCTGAGCGCATCATCTCTCAGGCCACTCGAAACAACAGAAAAATTAGTTGTTTCATCTCAGAATGTATGATCGTAAATTGCGGCATTATTTTACCTCCAAGAAACTACTTTAGACTTCTGTATAAGTAAGTTAGTACAGTAAATCCTCTTAAGTCTGGATTTCAGATAGTCCAGACCCTTTCCGGGCAAAAACATTTGTCCAAACCTTCAAATATTTGTCGTTTGAAATTCCCAACGCATTTGGTCATTTGAACTTGCTGCCAACAAACAATCCCTAAGCCTCTTTCCTCCTCAGGCCACTGAGTGAGCAATTTATTACCTCACTCTTTGAATGGACTCGCCCATAATGCTGTACTGTGAGTGGTTACCTATAAGTTTAACACACATTCATCCACAGAAAAATCTTACAATTTTAGGTAAAATAATTAAAACAATGGTGAATATCTCCGTAAGCCAGAACAATTGGTGCAGAGCACTTCTGGGAATGAAAGATTTCAGGGTAACAAGATGACTCTCAAAGCAAGAAAAAAATCCCTCATCCCCCAAATTTTCCAGAATTTTCTGGGTAACGGAAAAATATTCTTGGAAGTTCCAGAAATTGTGCATTACATTATCTCACGAACCCAGAAAAATATTCTCCATCCCTGGGATTTTCTGGGTAGACTGGAAATTTTTCTCAGAATTTCCGGAAATGCCCCTTATTTTCATTTTTCAAACTCGGAATAAAAATACCCCATCCCCGGAATTTTCGAGATACAATACAGGGAAAATTTCTCAAAAATTTCCAGAAAATATGCACCTCGGAAAATCATCCCCAAAGCTGAAATTTTCTGGAAACTTCCGGCTTTGGGAATAAATTTCTGAGAAAATTTCCATTCCAGCTATCGGAGAGTTCAGGGTTAGAGGGATTCCAGCTAACGGAGATATTACTGTACTGTATTGTGTCTTCCATGTCACATGCACACTCACACACGCACCTGAGGTATTTTCTCTATTATTGAATATCTTATATTATTAATGATGAAACATACACCATATGAGGCTGATCATGAGAATACTGTATAATGGATAAATAAAAGCAAGCATGGACACAGCAACAAATAGTCCCCCCACCACCACCGACAAACAAGAAATTACTTTCTAATTCAGATTGTCATTCTATTTGAAGTCAAATTATATATTGTATTATTTTCTATTATTTATGATGAAACATACACTATAATACACTGATCATATAAGAATACTGTATAATAATGAATAAATAAAGGCAAACTTGTGATCATGGAAACAGCCAGTCCCCCCTCCTCCCTTCCAGCATGTTTATACTGTGCATCAAGTGTCTTCTCATACCTATTCTCATACCTATTAGCTCTCGTTAGGCTTATATCAAAATTGATTAGACCATTGTACAATATCCCCTTTAAAGACAATACAATATATATTTTATTAATAAATAAGGTAATTTGATAAAAAACCATAATGAACTGTCATTATACCATTGCATATATGGAGGTGCATTCCTGATGACGTATGTGAAGGGTACAAATAAACAATATTGTATCAAGAATCATGGTTGTTTGATGAATAGTAGTGACGATTGTAGTATAACGAGTGTGAGACGCAGTGTGTGGATGGTAGGGAGGGACAAGGACTGAAAACAGTAAGGTGACACTGCTGTAACGTCATAAACTTTAGCCCCGCCCCATTGGCTGTCTTTATGTTTTCAACTTTACCACCACTGGTGGGTAGAATTTTTGTTTTAAATTCAGAAACATTAATTAAAATATATATGAACAGTAAATAAGTGTTGCTTTCATATTCTTTTGTAGAGTAATGACGATATGTTTTCACATGTGCGCACTTACATACGCAGTCTCACTTTTTGTTTTTACCATTAATGGTTAGCTACTTCCATTGTTCCATTTATTAGCATTAAATAACAGAATGGTTAGTTTTTTTTTACAGGGATCAGCCCACCCGGCCACAGGTCACTGACCCACATTGGGGCCTGGGGGCTAAAATATAATAATAATTATAATAATTATAATAATAATAATAATTCATAGGTCTAGGTCGTGTTTTTCACTTTTGATCTTTTTTTCATTCTTGTATTTCTTTATTATTATTATTATTATTATTATTATTTTATTAGTACACTATTATTGTTATTATTATTATTGTTATCATTCTTATTTTATTTTTGTGTATTTTTTATTAAAATTTTTATATACAGGTTGTACCTCTCTAGTCCGGCAACCTCGGGACCTGACCAGTGCCGGACCATGGAAATGCACCCTTTTCCTGGATAGATAGTGACTTGTGCTTATGCTTGGAAGCACTAGCAACACTTTCTCTGCATCATGGTCTCTTTGAAGGGTTAAATGTCGTATAGTAGCTTCTCAAATTTCGCGAGTTTTTAATTCTTAACGTATTTTATTGGAACACAAAAAATAAATAAAAATTTTGACGGCGGAAACTTGAATTTCGACGGGTTTGAACGGCCCGCCAACGTGCAGACGACGTGCATAATCGTGTAAACAGCGTCATTTCTCTTATGTACAAAAGATTCATTATTGTTTATTACTGAATGTCGTTTTTATTGAATTAATGTTTATGTGTGCAAAATGAGCAATACAATTCATTAATAATACGTTGAATATTAAAACACACAAGGAAATGACACAGCATTGTTTTCGTTGATTACAAAACCAGTGACTGACTGGTTCTACATATAAAACTGAAGAAAATAAGACCTTGGTTGTAGCTGTAGTAAAATTAATATGGTTGTTTTAAGTGATGTTATTTAATGTTAATAAATGGAACAATAGAAGTAGCTAATGATAATGGTAAAGAAAAAAGAGAGATCGCGTATGTAAAGTGAGCATGCGCACATGTGAAAACATATCGTCATTACTTTACACAAGAATATGAAAGCAACACTTATTTACTGTTCATATATATTTTAATTAATGTTTCTGAATTTGTTTTTATTGAATTAATGTGTGTGTGCAAAATTAACAATACAATTTATTAATAATACGTGGAATATTAGAGGAGACGAGACGGCTGCCGGCATTGTTTATGTTAAAGCTTACAAAACCAGTGACTGATTGGTTCTACATATAAAACTGAAGAAAATAAGACCCTGATTTTAGCTGTAGTAAAATTATTGTAAAAAAAATTAATATGGTTGTTTGAAGTACCTGTAATGTTATTGAATGCTAATAAATGGAACAATATAAGTAGCTAACCATTAATGGTAAAAAGAAAAAGTGAGACTGCGCGTATGTAAGTGCGCACATGTGAAAACATATCGTTATTACTCTACATAAGAATATGAAAGCAACACTTATTTACTGCTCATATATATTGAAGGGTTAAATGTTGTACTCTGTATAGACAAGCAGAGAGAGAGAGCAGCCGAACTGCCGGATGTAAACAAACCTTAATTACCCGCGGGTTTTTTTTGTAAGGGGATTAGCCCACCCGGGAATAGGTCTCTGACCCACATTAGGGCCTGAGGGGCAAAAATTTAATACTCCTGTAATAATAATAATAATAATTCAGATAAGTAAAAAGAAAAAAAAAAAGCTGCCTATCTACCTATTGGACAAACTAAAATCGTTCCGGACCATGGGAGTTTCCGGACCACAGAATGCCGGACTAGAGAGGTACAACCTGTACTATGAATAATTATTATTATTATAATTATTATTATTATAATTATTATTACTATTACATTTTCGTCCCCCAGGCCCTGATGTGGGTCAGTGATCTACGCCCGGGTGGGCTAATCCCTGTTAAAAAAACAAACAAAATGCCCCACAAAAAAAAACTTTTGGTTTTCAGAGCTTTAAGGAATTTTGGATAAAGGGTTGTCAACCTATATATATATATATATATATATATATATATATATATATATATATATATATATATATATATATATATATATATATATATATATATATATATATATATATATACAGTACAGTATTCCCGCTTAACGCGGTTTCGCTTAGCGCGATTTACCATATACGCGGTGCCTCGCCAGAGCCGAACTTTCACTTAACGCGGGTTTTTTCCACGTATACGCGGTGAGTGTCCGGCTCGAGACGCTATTTTTAGATTCGCCCCACCCTCCTGCTCCCGCCTCCTCCCTCCTCCCTCCGCTTGGGCAAGCCGCGCGGTAAGGTTGCGCAGTGTGTGTCTTTGTTGCGTTATCACTGACGTCATATGACGTATCGGACTGTGATTGGCCATGCATCCCTACCCCCCTCTGCTGCTAGCTGTAATTGGCTTAAAGTATTATGACGTGACCACCCGGGGGAGGGAGGGGGAGGGAGGAAAGACGACGCTTGACCTAGCCGCGGCAGTTTCATCCCTCCAGGCCACTCCGTGTATACGTGAATCCATTGTTCTGTGAAATGGCTTCCGCGGACCACCACCGCCACCAGAGAGAGACCTTTCCTTACCTGGACCCAGCGCACTAAGCCCAAGAAGACACGCCGTGGTCTAAGCTACGAAGTGAAGTACCAGATCATTCAAGATTTGGAGAAAGGAACACGGCAAGTTGATCTCGCGCGCCAGCATGGCGTCAACGAATCTACGATTCGCACTATCAAGAAGGATGCAGCCAAGATCAAAGAGCACATGAAAATCACAAAGTCTGCAGGTGCTTCAACGATCAGGTATTGCCAGAACAGGGTGCTGGCAAAAGTGGAAAATTTGCTGGTGAGTTATTTGATTCGTCAGGCGCGACGCAACATGGCGGTGGACACGCGCTCAGTGCAGGAGTACGCACGTGAGCTATACGCAGCAGTGTCACGTAAGCTGGGAATTGCAGAACCCAAACCCTTCAATGCTTCCTCTGGTTGGCTGCATAGGTTTAAGAAGAGGAACAAGATCACCAACATCAACATTGGTGGTGAGGAAGCGAGTGCTGACCGTGTGGCGGCTAGAGATTTTCCTCCGTTCTTACGTGAGATTATGGAGGAAGGACAGTACACCGACGACCATGTGTTTAACATGGACGAATCTGGTCTTCTCTGGAAAAAGCTACCGTCCAAGACCTTCGTTGTAAAGAATGCCAGCAAGATTCGGGGCCGGAAGATGCAGAAGGAAC